ACGCACCTGCCCAGACCCTGAACTTGCCCCAAATCGCCCGAAGCGTAACCAACCCCAGTCCATCTAAAGAGCCGCGCCATTACTCCACATTCACACAGCCCTTTAACCTGAAAAACTGTGTGTGCGCACAAGACGCTCGTATGAAACACCTCTCGCTGAGCTGCTGCTACTGTCACAGGAGATGTGCCCGCTGGGCAGCGGGCAGAGACAACGAGGCTGGGAATGACTGTGAGCTTCCTGCCTGCTCCGGGGCACGGTCCTCCCGCGGAGTACACCGCCCTTCTCCTGGGAGTTTGCTGCAGGCCGAGGACGGACCTGAGCCACGCCTCCTGCGTGCCGGCCACTGTCCCACCAGGATGGATAACCAGGCCCCTGCCCACCACGAGCACAATTCCAGGAGAGAGGGCTGTGCCCACCACATACGGCACAAGGCCGACGTTGTGAAACTGCACAGACGTGCAAATTATAGGAACAGAGAGGGTTGAGGCCTGGAAGAGACAGTCTAAGCGGGAGGGTGAGACCAGCCAAGTCGGCAGGAGAGGTTCCCAGTCTGCAGTATGCGCAGCGTCCACACGGAGTTCCACAGGCGGAGTGGGGAGCTCTAGGGGTGCATTCGGGGTGCAGTGAGGGTGCAGCGGGGGGGTGAGGCAGGGATCCTGGCGCCCCTACTGCAACCCCCTCCCGGAAGCCAGACACCGAGGGGTTGCAGAGTCGACGGAAGACACACTGCTAGTTCCTGCGAAGGGAGAACACAATCGTGGCGTGCCAGCTCACGTGTCTTCCACCAGCCACGCGGTCCTTGGGCGATAAACACACCAGAGGGATCTGGGCAAATGACGCCGACCACCCCCACCCTGTGCCTTGGCTTCCTCGCTGCTAAAACAGGGGACAGACTAAATGTCTCTCAGGTCCCTCCCAGCTCCAAAACTCTACGATGCTATCTGGTGTGGAAGAGATGGTGCCACAGACCACAAATCAAGCTTCTGAATTTTGCTAACAAATCAAAGTGTCGGCGTGGCACCTGTTTTACAACACAGAGGACACGCATCCCACGTGTGTCTGCCAGCAACAGGAGGAAAAGCCAGAGTGTAGTCCCCGGGGCCAGACGTGTTCCACAGAATAATAAATTCACTCTGGAAGGTCAGGGAATGCAGCACTGTGTGCAAGCCAGCTTCAGCATGCATGCCACGCGCAGATGATCAATGTCTGAAGAATCAGAAAACAATAAAACATGCTTAGAAGGCACTGTTCTCATCGTCACTCATCTTCCTCAGAGAAGCCAGGAGCACACCAGGGGACTGCAGCGCCACGTGGACAAGCACCGTGGTGCGCGTGCGCGCGGACGGGAGTGGTTCTGGTTGCTAAGACGCTGCCTGAACTGCAGGGCGTTCTGCGGGCGGCTGTCAAGTGCGGCTGAATATTTTTCTTAAAGAACTTTGCTGCATTTTTATACTGAACAGGAATTTAATATGAGGGTTTTCTTTTTTGTTTTTTATTGAAGTACAATTTATAATGTTCTGTTGGTTTCTGGTGTACAGCATAGTGATTCAGTTATACATGTATTTTTTTTAGACTTTTCATTATAGGATATTACAAGATATTGAATATAGTTCCCTTTGCTATACAGTAGGACTCCGTCATTTATTTTATAATATATACATTATATATTATAATAACATAATGTATAATATATATATTAACATACATGTAAGTATGTAACGTATATGTTAATCCCAAACTCCTACTCTGTCTCTCCCTCACTCCTTCCCCCTGTAACCAGTTTGTTTTCTACATCTGTGAGTCTGTTTCTGTTTTGTAAATAAGTTTATTTGTCAGCATGAGGGTTTTCAACTCTCACTTAACTATTCCCAGCTAAGTAAATGCCTCGGTGCTCCGTACAGCACAAGACACTAAGGGTGGTGTCACCTTCGCGTTTGTCTGAAGGACTCTGTTGGCATTTTATGGCCCCCTCCTCTGGAACCTGGAACAGACCTGCTCTTGCTAATCCCCGTCTCTCCCGCCCAGAGCTCCCTCCCACCAGGCGCGTCCTGGCACTGGGCTCCGGACACTGGCTGGCATGCGGCAGAGAGCAATCCTGCGCTCCACGGCCTGGTCTCCAAGCCGCTGCAGGGCCAGGGCACTTCCTGAGTGGCCGATCAACCCACGTGTTAGGTAACACCCACGATGCCCCTCAGGCTGCCGGAGCGATGAGGAAACGGCGCAGTGAGAAGAAGGGACGTCTTGGAGGACAGCCGGCCTTCAGCTGTCAGTGAGCCCCACTCTGTAGATTCCTATGTGACAGGGGCCCCACCTGGACGGAGCCCCCCTGGATGAGCACGGCTCCAGCTCGGGCCCATGGACTATTCCCAGGTGCGCACACCCCGCCCATCCACAGCGATGGGTGTTCCATCTCTTGCCCTGCATCTCACTTTACTCCTGTTCTCACCTCCTTGGTCCCCAAGCCCCCAACCCCTTTCTTTGTGGCATCGTTTTCAGCCTCTTGGTGGGGCCACTGATGACGTCCTGTGTTAAGACAAGTCTCTCCTGGGGAAGGTAGAGCTTAGTGGTGGAACACATGCACAAGGTCCTGGGTTCAATCCCCAGCACCTCCATCAAATAAACCCAATTACCTCCAAACCAAAAAATTGGGAAAAAATTTTAAAAGAAAAAAGACAAGTCTCTCCCGATCGCTGAGTCCACCGCGGAGAGGGAACCAGGTGGGGCTGCAAGGAGGTCCCAGTGTGCTGATGAGGACCCTCAGGCCCCACGCGGATCTGGCCAGAAGGACGGCAGGGAGAACGCATCCCACAAGAGCTCCTTCTGCTTGACTCCGAAGTGAGCGCTGAGCCTAAGTCCCAGTAAAGGCCTCCGGTCCCAGCAGGCCCGGTCGCCCTGCACACACACCCCTGCCGGCCCAGCCCTCCTTCCACACCCTGCCTCGTCAGCCAGAGTCACTCCACGTCCCGTTACAACAGGAGGACGTGTGGGAACACACTTCCCCTGAGCCGTTCCAACGACTGTCCCTGCTCTATCAGAGGAAAGGACAATCGCTTATCCTTCCCGTGGCTGGCTGACCGCAGCCCGAGGGGTGCTCCCCACCCACCTCACCCGCCAGCGCACAGCCGTGGACAACTGGTCAGTCTCAAAGCATGTGCTCAACTAACATGTTACCATCAAAACACGGTGGGTCCTCTTTCAGTTAGGACAGGAAGATGGGGAGCTCGGATGTGCGGGGCGCCGGCCTGGAGGGGCTGCAAGCAGAGAGCCCTGAGCAAACGGAGGCTTCCTGGAACCAAGCCATTTCCCCCTTCGAGCACCCTTCCCTCCTTGAGCTCAATTTTTTAATTCTAGAAACTGTCTCCTTCCTTCCTGAAACAACAGACAACACTACGGTGCCTGTTCTAAGAACTTTTTGTTCTATCCACTTGAACCATACAGTTTGCCACTTCTGTCAGATGTAGCCAAACATCTGCAATTTCAAAACTTGGGGTTTTACTATCCATGAAGTTACAGTCAGGATCCAAAGACATACAGGGAGGGCGAGCTCACGAGACTGTGCGTTTGATGTGACGGAAGAAGTGAGACAGACGAAAAAGAGTCAAAACCGAAGATACACTGTACAACACAGGGAAACAGAGCCACTATTTCACAGTAGCTTTAAGTGGAGCATAACCTATAAAGACAGTGAGTCACCACGTCGTGCACACGAAACTAACCTACGACTGTACACCAATTACACTTCAATTTGAAAAAACACCTGGGTAGTCGCCTAAGTTTTGGCAGAAACACTGAGCAGATAAACAGTACGGAAGAGAATGTTCAGAGCAACGCTACACACAACAGACAGGACGTGGAGACAGCCTCGGCGTCCACCGACAGACACTGTGGTGTATTTATACAACGGAATACCACACAGCCATAAGGAAGAATGAAATAATGCCATTCGCAGTAACATGGGTGGACCTGGAGGTTGTCATTCTAAGTGAAGTGAGCCAGGAAGAGAAATACCATATGATACCATTCATATGTGGAATCTTAAAAAAAAAAAGGGAAAACAAAACACTAATGAACCCATCTACAAAACAGAAGCAGACTCACAGACACAGTAAACAGTCTGTAGTTACCAGGGGGAAATGAAGCGGAAGGTAGGGTTAAATTAGGAGTTCAAGGTATGCAAATATTAACTACTATATATAGAAACAGATGAAAAACATTCCTTCTGCAGAGCACAGGGAACTATATTCAGTACCTTTCAGTAACCTATAACAAAGAAGAACATGAAAACAAATATATGTAGGTGTATGTATGACTGAAACGTTGTGCTGTGCACCAGAAACTGACACATTGTAACCGAGTATACTTCAATTTTAAAAAAAGGAAAAGAAAAAATTGCAATGAAATCAAAGATTTTATACCATTAAAAAAAAAAAGAGTAGAGAAGAGTTTTCCTTCAAGGGAGGTTCAAACACAGCAAGGCCCCGGGCTTCTCCCAAGGGGCGGCACCACGGCTGACAGCACCCCCAGGGGCCCCCATCCCGCCAAGGCCGTCCCAGTGCTTGCTGAGCCAGAATCCTGCTCCGGCCCGCTCACCGGTGAGGCAACAGTCACTTGTCCTCACTGAGGACCTCTGAGTGCCCTGACTCTACGTTGTGTTTGAAAAACGTTAATTTTAATTTTTATAAATTTTAATTACACGCCCTTTCAAAGCTCCCCTTCCCTAACCAAAAGGACTCATCTTTGTGAACTCCGAAAGTGTACTTTCTGTCGGAGCCACATCACCCTCTCAGTGAAGATTTACATCTAGCTCGGCAACACATTTTAAATCACTGAATGTTATTCCCAACTTTGCTCTTGGACTATGTTAAGCCAGCAATGAGGGCCCCTGTCTTCGGTGGAAAGAAAGGTAATGTGACAATCAGAGCTTCCCAAATGAGCAGACACACAACAAAGAATGTTTCCTGAGAAAAAGAAGCTTCTTTCAACTAATGTGATGATGCAGCTTATCTCTGCATCCAGAAGCAGCATTCAAATCCATGCACGGCTGCCACAACATCTGTGGGGAAAGGGGATCTACGAGAGGGTCATGAAGACCTGAATTCTAACGTCAACTGTGCTACCGAGTAGCAAATTCATTCTTAGGAGAGCTAGTATGACTTTTTTGTCCTTCAGTGTTCACATTTCCGCTAATAATTTTAACCAGTCATCCCACCAAGGTTCTATGAGAATTTAAAGTCATTTAAAGTTTAAAGAACTAAGTAACCTTTTAGTGACAAGAAAGGCGAGTGTTTTTCAAAGTTGAATGCATTTTTTAGCAAAAGAAAAGCTCGCTGCAGATCAAAAGAGAGAAGTCAAAATATCCATTTGCTTTTCCAAAGTGGCTGGTTCCAAGGTCCTGCCAGTTCCTGACAATCAGACTATTTTGAGTATTAAGTCCATGTAACACGTCTCTCGTCCTTCAGGGGCGCCCGTGAAGCAGAGATTTAGTGCCAGTCAGGGCCTAAAGGCCTGCTATGATATTAAGTTTGTGTTTTTAGGAGGAAAGAGACTGTCCTTTGGGGTAACAAACAGTGACCCCTGCAGACCTACAATGCTTTTCAACACTTTATGCCACTGTCATACCCTAAATGTCTTCTTCTCGTCTCTCAATGAGCTGCAATGTTCTGCGGTCAACTTGCTAAACTCACCATCATGTATAATCTTGTTCTGGAATCATCTCAGGTATCACATTTCTCAAAAAAAAAAAAAGGAGATTACGTAGGGAGAAAACACACAAAATCTCGTTAAGAAATAAGTGATAGTCTCTCAGATTTAATGAAACTGAGAAGAAAAAAAGAGTAAATTCCAGTTTACAGTGAACGTCACTTGATCTTGAGATTTGCAGATACTAACTACTATATACAAAATAGATAAATAACAAGTTTCTTCTGTACAGCACAAGGAACTATACTTAATATCTTGTAGTCACCTATAATGAAAAAGAACATGAAAATGAATACACATGTGTGTATGACTGAAGTATGATGCTGTGCACCAGAAACTGACACAACATTGTAAACTGACTATATTCAACAACAACAGATGAAGGCATCACTGAATTCGTGTATTAGTAACCATTTCACTGCTCTCCTAACAGATGAGGGGTAAGGCCCAAGAGCTTTTCCAATACAGTAAAAATATGTCAGCAAAGTAAAAACAATTATTGCCAGCTTAATATTTTATTCAGTGGGCTCCAACAGTATTATTAGAATGTGACCAGTAAAATCTATAGTCGACAATATTTTTAAAAAGGAAAACCAAGAATTAATCTTCAAAAATGCCACTCAGGGGTCACAAATGGGTTCTTTCCCCGTTTCACGTGACTAGCTGTTGGAAAATCCCAACAAACTCACAGAATGAGCACTGCATCTTCAGAGAAGAGGAGACTGCCCTGTTTCTTCCTGTCACAGGTCAATGACTAAGAAATGAAACGCAAAATACGAGCTGAGCAGAACGCGCTACTTTTCATCTACCTACAGACACACACGTGTGCAGGTGTGGCATCCGGTGTCCCGCAGGATCACAGAAACAGCTGTTTTCTGCGCGAGGAATGACTCCGTGCACATCTGAGGGGAGCAGGTGCTCACACAATACACTGTATAAACCTGTAAGAATTAAACTCTGTTCCAAAGCATGGCTACATCTTTAACAAGGGGTAAATGACATACACACGTGGGTTTTCCTCACTACAGAACACAGAACGCCCCACTGCGGTACCTGGGCTTACTTCATCTCTGATCTTTCAGTAACAGCAACATCCATTAACCAATTTTCAGGGAGAGGAGAAAAACACTCCTGGCTACATGGAGACAGACAGGTACAAGGTCGTAAATGAGACATCACCTTCCACTTAAAAGAATTACCCAAAACAAAAAATAATGAGGAAAATATCAAAATGTTTAAAATTTATTTTAAAAAAAGGAAAATGATGAAAACCAAGATGGCCACGCATCTTTAAAAATTTACATAGCTGCAATTTGGAAAGTAATCTGGTTCCAATTACCCATCTCTAAGCCCACAGGGTTACTTGAATCCAAGGAGATTAATTATAACTGCACACCAATCTGAAGTTCCTCTTTCACTCAGCTGTCTGGTGGGAGGACACCAGAGGAAAGCGCGTGCACGCCAGCTGTGTGGGAAAGAACTGGGTCCAACGGCAGAGGACGAGAAGGGCACATCGGGAAGCCGGTCCCTCACCTGTCCTTTGCTCAGAAATGACTGATGCCCCAACCTTCACCTCAATAACCAAAGGTGTTAATTTGTGCAAACACTATGGGCAATCAGCAAACAGGAGCATGAAGTGGGCCTGTGTCTGCACCCCCCAGTCCCAGCTCCAAGTACACACTGGGTGCAGAACACCCAGGTGCCAGGCTACCTGATCCCAGGACACCTGGGGAAGGGTATCCAAGCACAGGGTTACCTGGGTGTGAGGCCTCCTGGTATGGGGCACCAACGCACCGAGACTCCGTGGGTCTGGGAGACAAGGGCGCCAGGCCACCTTGGTGCAGGGCCACCTGAGCCTCAACTGCCTGGGCATGGGTGACCCGGGTGCCAGGACTGCCCGGGCCTGGGCCACCTGACTGCAGTGCTTCTGGGCCTGGATCTGCTGGGCCCAGGGATACCTCGGGAAGGGCCACCCAGGGCACAGGGCTACCAGGATGCGGGGCCACCCAGGTACGGGGAGACCGGAGTCCTGGCTACCTGCGCATGGGAGACCTGGGCAGGGGCTGCCTGGAAACGGGCCGCCTGAGGACGGGGCCACCGGAGCCCAGCCTGCCCGCCGGGGCGCATGCGCTCACCTGGTGCGGGGTGGGCCGCGCCCTCT